TTACAGTCTTCGTGGGAACGATACTCTACTTATTTCTATATTACTTGTGCGAATTGTGCGCTTGCAATAATTTCACAACAGAGACCATGCAAAGATCGCCACAAGAAAATTTTAATCTTATTAGGAATTGGCAAAGACCACACAGAGGTCCAAAGTGTGTCCCTGCCACCATGAGAAGTTCCTATACCCCCATCAACACGCAATGTAGCATCATGTGCAACTCGGTAGCCACTTTTGACACTATATATACCATTTTTTTGAACTCAGCACAAAGACTCTTTGGTAGACAGAAAACACTCATGGAATATGATGGTATAGATTGAACCACTGATTTTAATAAAACTTCCTTTCTACTTTTGAAAGAGATTTTTCCTTCCAACCATTAAGAGTACTCCACACATGATCGCGAACAGAACAGAAAAGTGCCAAGTGCCCATGACCGCCATAGTTGGTAAACCCAAATATCTTTTATGACAAGTTACGACTGGAATACCAAGCGTAGTGGCTACAACATCTATAACTTCCTAAGAGGCATTGGGACTAAAAGATAAAGTCGATTTATGAAAATTAATTTGCTGGCCTGAAACCTCTTCATAAATGCGGAAAATCTCCTTCAAGGTAAGACACACAGCTTCTGACATTTCAAGAAAAAGAAAACTGTCATCTGCAAACAAAATATGTGAAATCCTTGGACGAGAATGGCCCACACCTTCACTTACCCTTTCTCATGTAGCTTTTGATTTTATTAATTAAAGGGAGTGTATCCAATCTATACTTATATAAAGACTTTTTTAAAGTGAGTGATGTTCATAGAGTTGACAAATTCTTAAATACTTTCATAAAGTTTATAAAAGTCACTAGTAAATTGGCAAAACTTTTGCTATTAAAACTTAGGGGGTGCATTCAATTAGGATTCTAGAGCGTTTAAAAAGATTTTAAAAATCTGGGTGTATTCAATTATCAGGTAACCACAAAGAAATTCACTACTCCTAAAGAAATTTGGGAAGACTTCTTTAAGGTTAGGTTCTTAACTTCTCTCTCAATATGTGTTTTGTGGTAACCTAAGTACATAATTCATTACTAATAATTATTATTTAATTGTTGTTTTTGTAGTCCTACCCAACTCACAGGCATATTCAAACAAAAACTTGTGAGGACTATGAGGATTTGCAAATTGTCATTGGGAATGCAACTGCTATTGGAAAAAAAAACTCATTAGGATTGGGTGATGGTACTAATGCAAGAACTTTTGGGGTGAAAGATAGACAAGTTGGAATAAAGGACTTTATTTATGATAATGACACTCAGACCTTTGTACCAAATCATAATGAAGCATCACACCAAGATCCACCACTCAGACATTCTTCTTCAAGCCAATATTTGGACAGGTCCCTCAAAAAGCTCAAGCCAAAGGAAACGAACTAGACCAGAGCATGAACAATATCACAAAATGTATTAGCAGCTTGTAACTTTGATTTAGAATTCATATATGTGCTTAGTGGGTGGGAGGGCTCAGCTCATGATTCAGGAGTACTAAATGATGCTTTAACAAGGAGGAATGGACTTAAAGTGCCACAATGTATTCTTTTCTTTTTCTTTTTTCATTTACTGTTTACATTAGATCATACGTTGGATACTAAAATATGTGTATTCAATTATCTGGTAAATATTTCTTAGTGGATTGTGGATTTCCAAATCGACGCCAATTTTTGGCTCCATTTCAAGGTGTTCGATATCATCTCCAAGAGTTTGCAGGTCAAGGTCGTGACCCTACAAATGAAGTTGAGTTGTTCAATCTTCGTCATGCGTCCTTGAGGAATGTCATTGAGAGGATCTTTGGTATATTTAAATCACAATTTACAATTTTCAGGTCCTCACCTCCATTCCCATGTAGACACAAATAGAGCTAGTGTTAGCTTGTGTTGGACTACACAACTTTCTTCGAAAGGAATGTCGATCAGACGAGTTTCCTATTGCAATAAAGATTTAAAAGTAGGTGGGTATATGACTAGGATATAGTAGTAGTAAGGGTATATATCGGAAGAACTAAAAAACAAAAAAGAAAAAAAAAGGGATGGTTGACTAGTGGCTAGGTCAAGATATAAATACGAAGTTTAAAGAAAATAGTATTGGGAAGAAAGAGTGATAAAGTCTATGCAAATAGATCTGAATCTATAACAAAAGTTCATACAAAAGTATGGAAATCTATATTAAAACTCTATACAAGTTTATTAAAAACCCAGGTAAAACCTATAGGAGTTATATGTTGCATTCCTAAAAGGACACAAATTAATGTGCAAACAACCAATTAAAAATACCCGCAAGTGCACGAATCTAATGAAGTATAGATTATGTA